CATTGTTTCATCAACACATTTTAGGATTTCGCCTTGTATACCAACTTCGTCAGGTGATTTATGGTTTTTTAATCTCTTAATTTGTATCTTAACTTCTTGTATCGTAGGTGTTTTATATTCGCAATTATTGGGTGGTTCTTGTATATAATCAAATATTTCTTCAGAGTATTCTCCATTAAGCAATTGTTCGAAATATTCTGCCCATCTTTCTGTTATTTCCATCTTTGTTGTTATCAATTCTCCATCCTTATTTCTTATACATTTTTCATGCCCTTTATATCCTTTTTTCATCCCATGAGTTTGATTAGAGCATATTAAATAATTATGCATTTTAAATATTAAAAAATTACAAATATGCATAATTTTAATACATTTAACTGTCTGTTTATTATCAATTCTATTCATATTGTGAAATTAAATAAATTATATTAAAGTTCTAATTCTCCATTTAAAAATTAAGAAATGTAAGTAATTAAAATAAAGGAATTTTAATGAAAATATTAACTTAATTCTACCTATTTATATATATTATTATTTTTATTAGCATTAAAATTCTCTGTTATAGATGGAAAAGCAAAAAAAAAGTAATGAATTTAAACCAAGTTTAAGACCTAAAAGCCCTACAATTAAATCAGCTTTACTGGATTGTGATGCACCATCTATTCCAAAMCCTCGTGGCTTAAATCCAATAATAAAGGTATGAAATATTAAATTATATGTTATCACATTTCTAAAATTTTATATTTAGGGTTATTGAAAATTAATTTTTGACAAATTTTATCTGAAAATGATTTACTATCTGATGGGGAATTATAACTACCTTATRTAGCTTGGATATATTTCACAAGTTATCATGATTGCTAAATAACATAGACATATAATAGAAAATAAATAACTATCATTGTCCCTATTGTGTCAGCGTTATAATATATTATATATATTAATAACTCATGTCACAGGTACTCATACAGGTATATACATAAAAAAAAAAGGTATGATATATTTTCCATTAGGTAGCATACTTCAAGAGCACCGATGATTTCCATTAGCTTATCCCTGTTGTCCCAAGCATTTTTAGGTTAAATTATTCAAATGATTTAATTTTTTATAACATTATGTTATTTATACTGAAGTTCTAATCATCAGCAATAAGAAATTATTTTAATTAATTGTATATTATTCATAGTTATGATTAGGTACAATTGTATAATTTTAAAATCAACATGATTCAGGAAAATCAAGAAACAGAAGTTCTAACAGTATCAACGACAACTGATCATCCATCAAAAAAATTAAAACATTTGAATTTATTTACTAATTTACAATCAACACCAAATACTCGACATTTTAACAAACAAGAAATGGATTCAAGAATAATAATGAAGTAAGTTTTTTATATTTAAAATTTTTAAAAATCATCCAGTTCTTAAYTTATTTAATAATATTTAAAGTTATAGTCTAAGTCAGTATGTATAGAACTTCAAAAGTTTCTAATAATAGCTCCTTGTAAGTAATTTTATTTATTGTAATTATTTTTTAGTCTCAGTCCAATAATGTCTACATCATCTTTAAAAACAAACTTATATAATCATAAAGATATTCATCAACATAAACCACGTGTAGAAATTGATTTTTCATTGGTAAACATATTATATTTATACCTAATTTTACTCAGAAAAATTATTAACAAAGTATTTTTTTTCTCAAATAGAATCCATTGAAATACCGCAATTCATCAAATCTTTGTAAAAACCGTGAATTAAACAAATGGAAAACAAACAAATCTTCAATTGAATTAGCTCATAAAATTAAAAATGTTGTTTCTCCAATTGTACCAAACAATACAAGTAAATCAAATGAAGATAATGTAAATGAAAAAGCTAAAAGGTGCTTATTTGAAAAAGAAAAGACAAATAGTATTTCTAATTTAGAAGCAGATCAAGATTCGCTTAACATTTCTTTGGATATATTAGAACAAGTGTGTCAAATGTCAGAAATTATGGATGATAGTTTATCATCTGAAGAAATAAAAATAAAAGTTGATACTGATAAAAAAAAAAAATTAGCTTCRTTTCTTTATGGCAATAGTACCATTAAGCTTGATGATACAGAGGAAGAAAACAAATTATTACAAATGGCATTAAGTATGGAAGATAATATTTTGACTGAATCCAGATCAATGAATAAATTATATTTTGAAGGACAATTTACCTCTCTTAATCAACTAAAAAACAAGGAAACTAATTTATCTGAATATGACAGTGAACAATCTAAAAGTAATAAACTGAATACATGTATAAGTGATTTCAAATGTAACATTTTAGATCCTGAAGAAATAAATCCGATTGGAAATACACAGATGTGTGAAATAGCTGATATAACAGAACCATTAGAATCATTTGATGATCAGTGGTCACAACAGTATACTAGTAATGTATCTAACTTGAGCAATAAAACAAAAGAAAATAATTTTAATAAAAGTGTTGATACAATGATATGCACACCAACAGATTTTATTGATCATAAAGTGAATATCAAAAAAAGTAACTCATTAGATAATTCAAATGAAAGATTAAAAACATCTCAATTAACTGTA